GGCCGCCACGAGTACCGCCGATCATTGCCTAGAAGCGAACACGCACCAGCAACTTGCGGCATGCCAGCCAAGCATCGATCGGTTGCACAACACCACACAGTGCCTTGATTCATGGTGAAATTGCCTTTTGACATGTATCTATCTACACTTGACGCAGACCATCGCCGTCGATGGTGTGGGCTTGCTATATGTGCCGCACATGTGCATGAAACGTACCTCACCGCCACCATGACCGTCATGTCTATGACTCTATCTACTATGCACGAGTGGGTAACTGACCATAGAGACCGATGAATATAAACGTCTTGCAGCGCCTCGCCCATGTCTTGCGCCGTTCGCCCTACAACTTATGTAGGTGCATGCCGTGCCAATGAAAACTTCTCTGTGCCACTACCTGCAGCGTCGCATCCTAGAATCACAACCTGGTACAGATCCAACGAGGGTATGCATGAAAAGAGAATGCGTATCATATCCCACCAAAAACCGGAAATGTGGTATAATGTAGCCAACACCGTATACAAAGGAAAAGATAAGGAGAAGAAAAAAGAGGAGACAACGTATTAAACAGCGTTTGACATGGATATGGTGAAGCGGGCGATACCACCGACTCAGCTCTCCTTGAGCGCATTCCTCACGGCTGCAGACAGAAAGCCGAGACTACTGCGGGCGTCGACTTCGACCGCCTCGAGCGTACGGGCTGAGAGAGGCATGAGTGCCGGATCAATGGCATTTGGCCGAAAGAGCGTCGTGGGCATTGTGCGCCTGCGGCCATAATAACTGCGCTCTAGTTCATTTTGCGCCGGGAATGAGTCAGCAGGGTGAGGGTCGAGGCCTTTTAGCCTGGCCGAAAGTGAAGTTATCAATCGTTGTACAGAATGCAGTTCGCGCAAGACTTGCTGCTTCGCTTGTCGATGACAAGGCTGATGGCGGCCCGTTGCCGTTGGTGTGGCTGTTACGGGGCTTCCGTGCCCGCTAGTCATGGGGACATTGTCCATGGCGCTGCTAGCGCCAACGCCAGGCCCGCCCGTCAGCGCCGCAGCAGAAGCGTACCAAGATAGCATCTTCATAGTGATGAGCAGTGCGACAACAATGAGCAGCTTGTCGTCGCGACAGTTGTTGCAGTTGACCAGGGCAAGCATGGCCTGAATCGTTTGCTTGTTCTTGGCCAGGATGAGCTGAGTCAGGGGACTCCCGGACACCGCAGATGGGTCTGAGCAGGGGTTTTGAGTTATGGTTTTGAACAAATCAAGTGCCTTGTGCAGACAATTGCAGTTGATCCCCTTATCCGCTTTTAAGACGGTCAAGTTTACTGCTTCTGGATGCGCCGGCTGGCTGCATGTCTGGTCACCCGGTAGGGCTGTTAGCGCAACAACGTCTCTCGGTAGACTTGGGTGCCTTGACGACGAAGACGATGACGCTGATGATGCCGATGATGATGTCGAAGAAGATGCTGACGAAAACAATGGCGGCATTGAAGATGCTGACGACATTAACGATTCCGAAGAAGATGCGCGCGAGCTTGATTTGGTGGAGAAGTTGCTAGTTGATGGAATCAACAGATCAAACGGCGATTGGGAGCCAGTGCTGCCGTCTAGCATATCCAGGCCCAAGGTGGAGTCGAGTGACAAGCCTGTCGACATGGGCGCAGCAGAAGGGTCCCAGTCCATGAGATCGGTATACATGGGCGCATCAATCGCGGCAAGCGTGTCGAGGCAGTCATCCCATACGCCATTAGTCGAGTTGCTACTGTCAAGATTGAAGGGTGGGAAGAAGTCCGAGGGCAATGCGTCGGATGCATCCATGTGCGTCTGAAACGAGTCGACGCGGTGGTGGGCACTGGTGCTGCATTGTGCCCTGTCAAACGAGAGTGTCGTCGAGGATGCAGGCGATAGGAGTAGCGAGGCGGTTCCATGATCTGCTGTAGTGCTGGCGTGTGGCGAGGGCGACGGAGAATTTTGATGGTCGAGGGTGTTGCCTGCATCAGCTGTCCCGGCTGCCCGGCTCTTGGTTTGGTCGGTCGAGAGCGAGGCTGCACGACGTGCACTACTTCCTGGCACCCGTCCTGGACGCTTGCAGTGCAGATACCGGCACTCGATGCCTTTACTCTCGCAGCGAGAGCATGACGGGCGTTCCTTTGTGCAACGAACTTTTGATTTGGCACAGGCCTGGCAGCAGTCGCGCACCTTGAGGCCGCCGCTGGGACGGGCAGCAGCAGGGCGCGAGCCACCGGTCGGGGTCGGGGAGGCGGTGGTGATGGTGGTGGTCGACATCTCTCAATCTCAACACTGCTTCTCTGCCCTGTGGAAGCGTAGATGACCGTCTGCATGTGTGTATGTACCTAGACGGCCAGGACGATGTGCACACTTTAGTATCCATCATGGCCTCTTCCAGGCTGCTCCAAGATGATAATCCCACACAGGCGCCGCCCGGGAAGCCAACGCCTATCACGGCTCGTGCACAGCGCTGGCGACAAACTTGTGTCATTGTCGCCTCGATTGCGTCCAAATCATCGATCGTGCGGCTATATGGTTCCTGGGATCGTGCATGAAATCGACAGCCTCGCAGGCCTGACGCCCTTCAGCGGCCGGGTCACCCTCGTCGCCAGTGGCTGGCAGACCGCAAAACATACCTCTCTGTATGCACCCTGCCCACGTCCCTGATAAGACCCACTCATCGGGCCCTGCACATCCAGGACGTCGCCGGGGCATTGATTGGACTGCCCACTAAAGTAACCTCGTATACTGCCGAAGACGCTCCTAGCACTCAGCCGTCGCCCTGCACGTGTCGAGAACGCCCCAAAGTACCACCGCCGACATGGCCGGGGGCCCACCCGACGTGTTCCCAAGCCTGCTTGCAATTGTGCATCCTCGCTCTTTTTGGACCCCGGCGATCCTGGATCCTTTGCCTTGGACCCTTACGTGTGCCTAGCTGGTGGTGAGTGCAAGTGAGTTGCCCCGTCGTCTCGGAAACATCGCGGGGTAATCCTACTAGCGGCCGCTGTCTCGGGATTAGCCTCATGCGCGCCAGCCTTAGTCACCCATCTCACCCATCCCACCCATCCCACCGTTCGCCCTTTCTCCTTCCTTCTTCCAACTTTCAGCCTCGCCGTGCCAGAGCGGATCCCAGTGGGCCGTCTCTCATTAATGTCAGCAGGGTAGTTTTCCGCCTCATTAGAAAAGACACCCACTACTATGCGCGTGTACTATGCTGACCTTGGCACAGCTGTTGCGTCCTTTTTTTGGTATTGCGGCACTTGTACATTCACTGTTACACAAGACTACTACAGTTTCACGTAACAAGGGCCAAGAACATCCTTGGGTGGCAGCAAATCATGCCACCCGTCATCAAAACATTCGATATACTAGCCAGACACGGCAAAATCTAGCTACTAGTCGACTAATTACACTATAAAACCGCCCACTGATTGGCTAGGCCAAAAGCGTTAGCCTTGCAACGATGGCCATGGCGCTTCCATACTCTCCCGAATCTGGCCATTGTGAACCCACTCCTCAATCCACCCAATCGTCATCCTACAAACCATTAGCCCTGAGTCGCAGTCCGCCTTAGGTTACTGCTCAATCAGCAAACTTACTGGCTGCGCCTAGTGTCGGCAAACTTCTCGTGATCTCCAAATAGACGGCTCTTGTACCATGGATCCTCTCGCAGCTTCTTGTAGTCCTCCACGCTCTCAAACACGACTTGGCTGAAGCAGTCGTAGTCGGCCACGTTTGCCATCTGTGCGTCGTACAGCTCACTCATGAGCTCCCGCGTTTCTTGCGGATTGTGGATGACGGTCCAACGTTTGATTCCGTGCTTCGCCATGAGATCCTTGGTGAGCGGAGCGGATACCTCTATCATGTGGCGGCGATAGTCCTCCTCGCTTAATCCTGGCTTACGGTAGCCGAGAATAGTAAGACAGAGATACTTGCTTGGCGGGAGGCCTTTGTTGCGATGCCCGTTGGACGCCATTTTCTCGAAGTGGAATGATTTGACGCCTCGTAACGAGACTTGGTGTGTCAAATGTATAACGAATTGCTCAAACAGCTGCCGTTTATATCCCATGCCTCCATTTTTCCCCGTTCAGGTTCCCCTTCCTATATGGTCCGGAGAAACCGAAACTCTGTACTCGGGTCCCGAGAACTGCCTCATCCTACCGTGAACCAGCACATTGGACCGTGAAAACCCCCTCGTGGGAGACATGGTACGCCACATCAGCCACGTGAAGCTTACATTGCCTCCCCACGGAAGATTACATCAACACCATTGATGCAATAGTATACGTACTGAGATGCGGAGGCTCCGATGCGAACCCCTACCCAGTGAGTAGTACAAATCGGGCCGTATCTTATGTCATCTTACCTCGCGATTCGGGGAGTATATTCACAAGCTAACCAACATTTGGCCGTAGCCATGTTTTCAAGGCCGTTTGTTCCGCGGGAAAGCACCGGGCCACTCCGTTCTTCTCGTATCGGATCCTTTTCGGAGCACGCAGTGTGGAGATACCCGTAACTCTAGTTGCCCAAGGGGCGTGGCGGAATCCTTGTGAGAAGCATCACATTCGCAATATGCGCGATCTGAATTTAATCGGCATCTGATTGCATCATTTCCGTTGAAAATCCTTTTCAACTGGCAGAAATTCAACGGGGCCCGCCGAACCCCAGAAGATGCCTACCAGGGCCAGTCGAGCTAAGCTTGCCTTGATGTCGCTTTTCCTTCTACTAGGATAACCCAGGTCGCTCGAACAAGCTAACGATTCCGCTACAATGCTTGTAGTCACGACATGGGGAAACATCGCATAACTTCTCACATTAAACCAGACATGGGGATGTGACAGCGACAAGTCAGCGCCCCACTTAAACATACCTTGATACGGCCATTTGTTATGGCACATGGACGCGGATGGCACAGGTCATTGGTACTAGGTTACACTGTGGATACATTTTCGCTGTAGATTTTCAAAAAAAAAAAAGGTATTATGTACATTGACTCGGTAAAGTTTGTTAGATGAGCTCAGCACTCTCACAAGATTGATACTTGACCACTAACGCAATAGTAGCCCCGTCGGCGGACCGAACGCGGTTCTTGACCACTAATTTCCCCCGTGCGTCAGATATGCTTTCTGTAAGTTTGTAAAGTTCTGACACCTCCATGGCCCCGTTGCCGGTGAGGTGCATGTCTGTGAAGTCGAGAAGCCGTACTCGGGTCTCGACGTTGATGGCCACTGACCCTGGTTCAGGTAACATTGCCGGCGCGAGAATCAATAAAGCCATCGGATTGGCTCGGAGAATACCGAAATGTGCTTTGAGCTCCATTGTGATAAGATCGTCGGCCGTGTAGCCACGTGTGCTCGCTGCGCAAAAAGAGGGACGTAGAAGATACACTGCCGCGTCTTTTACCGGTTGCACTGCGGTCGGTTTTCTCCGTTGTACTATGATGCGTTCGCTGGTAACCAAATCCTTGTCGCCGTTACCAACCCCAGACAGACCCGCGTCAATGGGTATGAAATCATACGTTTGTACTGTCAATCGAAGGGCTGGAGCAGTCTGGGCCAGGTCCCGCGCCAGGCTTGTGTCGTTGTCACATATCTGTCACAGTCGTATCATGTCAGCAAAGACTAGTCACAAGAGCAACTCAACTCGGTTCTTTGGTCACTCACATCAACAACGCATGCATCTCCCAAGCTACGCCAATTGAGTAAGTTTGGCAAATATGCAAGCTGGTTCCTCATGCTGCCCATGCTCTGACGGTAGGCCTGCCATTGCCGGTTCGTTTGCGGTTCCTGGGAGACAAAGTCCAACAGTCGTGATGATTGTAGATCTATTGCGCTGCCATCATGCTCGTTTGCAAAAGAGGTAAGATCGAGGGATGCTGGGGCCACCTTGTTCGCTAAAAACATGGCAGCGTCGAAATATGACAACTCGGTCGTGAACGATAACGACAAAGACGTATGTGCAACATGCCCATGCTGAGGCTCGTATAGAAAACCTGCAGTGGCAGTCATTCTCACGACTCGGCTGAGCGTATGCTCCGGCACATCCGCTAGATTTGCAAGCTCCTCGAGTGAGATGGTGTCATCTAATGGTATGTAGGCAATGATTTGATACTCGCCCATCCATTTTAGGCAGGCTAGAAGTTGATTCTGTTGCAAATTACAGACTTAGCTGATTGGTGTCAAGATGACAGAGGGAGGTTTACTGACATACCTGGGTGGCTAGGGATTGTATGAAGCTCGCAGGACCAGCCAAAAGTGTTTCCAAGCGAGAGGATATTCCACTGAGGCTACTGTGTGCCAAGGCGATTTCATGCTCTAGGTTCTCTGCTCTGGCTGGAGGGACCAAGACATCGGTAGTGGGCTCTTTGGTGACGGCAATGCTGCCCTGATTGCTGCTCTCGCACAGTGCTTTGAGTCTCTTAGCAGTAAGAGCGAGTTCGGAACAGAGAGTATCTAGCTGGCTGAGATCCATGTTTGTAAAGTTGTGATATAGTAATACAGTTTGAAAAGAAGCAGAATGGCTACTTCAAGGCATGGTGTGTAGTGTAAAAATAATTAAAGCAGCCACTACACCCTCTCGTGTGTGTATGCGTATGCACGTACGTGATAGCATCCCTGTACATGTTGCATATACTTTCTGTACGTCCTGACCTGATATACAGTACAGATCCGGCACGTAGTTGTCACCACAAGGGGAATTGGATGCTAGCGTAGGGTGCTCAGGATAAGATCATCGGAGGTCATTGGCAAGGGCTCCCCCGGCTTGGCACGTGCGAAAATCTTAGCCTCCTTTCCATTTCCGTTTCGGCCCGCAGGGAACCCACACCCACTTTTCCCCCCAATTTATCGAGCAAGGATTCTCCTTGCGGGAACATCGCCCTGGGCCTATTGCGGCTGATGACGCCTCCTCATTGATGACATGCTCGCGGGGTTTCATCACGTGACGGGGCCGCTAGCCGACTACAACATCAGGAGCGTAATCGCTATGCATCTAGCCCGATGACGCCTCAACAGGTTTCGGAGACGTGTAGATGCACCTGTTTCTCCTACACACCAATGATCAACCGATAATGCAGCAAATTTGGGGGTTTGTCCCGCGTCATGTACCCGAAGTTTCTTCTCCACGCGGCAGCCCTATGTTCCGACCATTCCTTCCGCCTTGCAATTGGGGGCCGATCTCCAAAGCGAAACATCTGACGCCTAACAAGCCGCTCCGGATCAAACCCCCATTGTCGGCTCATACGCCTCCCGTCGACTGAACGCTTTTCGCCTCACAGCCACCTACCGGAGGATTTTGACCCAGCAGCATGTTCGGAGGAAATCATGTCTCGCTACCAACGTGGCATTCCAGCATTGTCGGGACAGATGAACGGTTTGCACGAGGCGCCATGAATCCTTCGTGATATTGGAGTAGAGATAAAAAGAAAGGCATTGACATGTTGTAATTTTAGTCAGAAGTCGTCAGCCAGCTCAGCCCACTTGTTGGAGATAGATACACGTACCCATTCTCTGTCCAATTATAGCAAATCCTATCCACCATTTGCACTGTGTTTTTGCGCAGAAAAAAAATTCATCACAATGGGCGACTACGGCAGCACGGAATCTCAGACACTTGACGTCGATGTCCTCATTGTTGGCGCGGGACCTACAGGTGCCTCTTTAGGCAGCTTCCTCGGATCTCATGGTAAGGCGTGCCATCTGACACACATCCGTCTTATGCAACATTGCGCAAAAAGCATGCTAACTGGAGTTTCCACACCATAGGAATCACAGGGTTGCAGATCGACGCTGAGCCTGGCCCGTCGCCGCGCCCGCGTGCCAATTACGTGAACATGGCTGGCCTTGGTATGTAGGATTCGCTTCAGCCATTCTCGGGTAAGAATACGGTAGGCGCTGACGGTAGTCCCACAGAATGTCTTCGTGAAATTGGCATCGAGGCAAAGGCGCAGGAGGTTGCTTGGCCCGTATCAGAGTACTCGACCTATACTCGTTTCTGCAAGACGCTTGTTGGTGAGGAAATCTACAGAGCCCATGTGTTTGGTAACGATCCCCATCGACATGTAAGGCCTCCATTTATTGCACGTGGATCTTGAGGGAGCTGAAAACTAATTGCGGGAACAATTAATGCAGGGTGATTACTTCGATGCAAGTCCATCCAAGACACTGTGTCTCTGCCAATCCGATCTTGAGCCCTTGTTGCTCGAACATTCTGAAAAGCATGGTTTCCCAACACGTTGGAATACCAGACTGGTCAGCTTTACCGAAGATGCAGAAAAGGATATTGTGATAAGCACACTTGAAAATACAGCAACAGGCGAAATCACCACTGTCCGTTCTAAGCAGCTTGCAGGTGCAGATGGACCTGACAGTACAGTAGCGCGCCAACTTGATCTCCCCATGGTCCACGGCCCAGGCAATGGCTTCGTCATCAGCGTGTGGGTTGAAGCTGACCTGAAGCATCTTACTGAGCACAACCGCGGTCTACTCCACTACCTCGATCGTCCGGACAAGCCGCAACCCGATTATGGCGTCCTAGGAATCGCGCACTTCATCAAGCCCTGGAATGATTGGGTGATTTCGCTGTTCCCGCACCCCACATACAAGAAGCTCGAGGCAACCGAAGAGCAGATCTTGGCCCGCATGAAGGAGCTCGTCGGCGATGACACCATCGAGTACAAGGTTAAGGAAATCAGCACCTGGAGCTTCGACGAGGTCTACGCCAAGCACTATTCCTCCCCCTCGGGCAATGTGCACGCCTTAGGCAATTCTGTGCACCGCCACCCGCCCTTTGGCGGCCTAGGCATCAGCACCTGTATGGAAGACTCGTACAACATGGCATGGAAAATGGCCTATGTCCTCCAAGGCAAAGCCAACAAATCACTCCTAAAAACCTACAATGACGAGCGTCAGCCCGCCGGCGAATACGTCGTCCAGCGCACCAACGAAAATGGGCGCCTAAACTTTGGCTTCTACGGCCAATTCGGCTTCCTCAATGAGATCGGCGTGGACCGCCGTGCGGAGATGGACGAACTCCTGCGCCAGGACTCGTCGGAAGGCGAGGCCGCCCGCGACCGCTTCCGAAAGGCTATCCGCGATCTCGCGGATGAACGGCACTGCATTGGCGCCATGATGAACCAGTGGTACAAGTCCTCTGCTGTGTACACGGCCGACGAAACCGAAGATCCGGACTGGCCGACCAATGTATCAGATCGCTCCACCAAGCTCTACACAAGCACGTATCCCGGATGGCGTGTCCCGCATGCTTGGCTTGCACCCCGCCAGACCGAACCTGGTCCGCGACTTCCGCTCGTCTCGACTAGAGATGTCGTCGGACATAACCGCTTTACGCTCATCACCGGAATCGGGGGAAAGGCTGTGTGGGGCGCGCCGGCGGAACAGGTGGCTAAGGAGACGGGCGTCGAGATCGCAGTCGCGAGTATTGGGTTTGGCCAAGACTATGGCGATGCGCTGTTCAGGTGGCATGAGGTGCGTGGCGTGGAGGAGAAGGGCGCCGTGTTGGTACGACCCGATCGCACGGTTGCGTGGCGTGCGAAGAAGCCGCTCGGAAGTGAGGAGGAGACTAAGGAGAAGTTGGGCGTTGTCATGAAGTCGGTTTTGGGCATTTAGAAAGGGGTTCTCTTTTTTGCGCGTGGAGGACGATATAATGGCAAGTAAGTATTCTTGGACAGTTCTTTTTTTTATATGATTTGCGGTTACAGAGTTACGAATGGTATCACCCTGTTATTTTCATACACGAGATTTATCTTTTCTAGAAAACACTTGTGCGATCTTTTCCCCGACTTACCTGTTATTCAGTGAGAATCCTCGTTGCTGGATGCTTTCCTTATTCATCTTCCATTCTCTCTACTGTACTCGATCGTCTCCAGGAGATTGATATAGCGACGTACTCCAAACCGCTCGTTCACCTGATTCGCCCCCTGCCACAGCTGCATGTGGGAGAGTATCTTGGTGGCATTAGTAGTCGTATATACGAAGAGGATCAATCTCAGGTCCTTGAGTGCATTTACTGCATTTTGCCTGAGCTCCAAGAAAACTGTTGTTTGGCAGCGTCGTTGTACTCGATCGTCCTGGTCATTCCGCGACGTGTGCGCCCATGTTCTCGGATAGCAAAGGGTGATTACCTATGACGCGGAGTATACCGAAAGGCGTATCTCTTCAAGTCGTCTTAAGATGCCGTTCATAGCAGTGATTTAGCCATTTTCGATCGGCTCAAGGCGATTCCCTTCTTGTTCTCCTACTCATTGGATGTATCGGCTTTTCAGCTCAAATAGGAACAATTTCAGTTCGTTTTTGGAGCTGTATTCACACAGCTATGCATCGGGTCGCGATGTCAATCTCATTCCATCTAGATGATGCGGTTTTGGTGGAAAGTCAGTCGAGAAACCATTCTTGTCTCTATATTGTTCTCGCAAAAGGAAGCAGGGCGCACATAATAGGTCGTCAATGGCATAGCTTCCAAGCCAGGCCCTGCCATGAGCGCGGTACAGTAGCAATGATACTTCTGCGAATATGTCGGGAGCGCTGTCTTGATCTGTAAGAGCGCCATCCGGGAAGAGGTAGGGCTCGGCGTCGTAGAAGAGCTCGTCAGCTGTAGAGTCGGCCGTTTCGTGGTTGTCGTCGATGTAACATGTGCCCGTGTACGCGGGCGGATCTGTTGCTTTGAAGGCAGCATGCAGGCTATCAGCCTTTTCGCAGACGCAACCAAACCGGTGGTTGGTTTTGATACACTCGGTGACGGCTATGCGAATAGGTGAGACGAGAGCACTTGGAAGGGACTTGTAGTCATCTCCACAGGAAGTACAAGAACTACCTTTCAATTGCATGATACTGCTTCCACTCATCGTACTCCGGTAAAAAAGTGCATCAAGGAATAGAGCTCGTGTATAGCCTAGTTGCTGCTGACATTGCTCGAATTCCAGTCGAACGTAGGTCTCCAGGTTCTCAGTCGTTTCAAGTACCGTGCTACACCATGCTGTATAAATGGTGGGAAGTGCCTGTAGATACTCCCTATGACTTAGGTCGTCATGTAACCAATCGAATCCTGGCATCTGGCAAAAGGATCCTGCACTAATTACCATGGGTATCAACACTCGACCGCAGACTCGAAAAGCGAGCAAAGTGCTAATAGCATCTATTCTCTTTCGACATGTCGCTTTGTATTCGCAATCAAAGAGTCCCAGAATCCGGTCCAGAAAGCGACCATCTCGCATGTGGCAAAGCACTGTTCGGACAGCGTGCTGCAAACCACACCATATTGTCTGCGAGTTGAGTTGGACGTACAGTTCAGTCGGAGCACAGTGAAACAGCCACGTGATGCTGTTTTCCGAAATGGGCACACTTTCTTGCGCATATGTCCTTTTAAGCCACTCATGCACTGTCCAACCGTCGCTCTTGGGATCTGTCAGCTCGATACAGTCGGAAAATAGTCGCAGCATGGAAATCTTGACATCGGCATGTATATCCTGCGCTAGTGCGACAAAGAGGGTGATGGGAGAACTATATAAGGTTAGCGTCACTTGCGCTAGAAACAGCTAAAGGTAACTCACAGTATAGCTTCAGTTGGTCCTTCGTATACCAACGCTGATTTATCGGCACCAGCTTCGATTAACATGGCGCAAAGATCAACATGGCCACCAGCTGCCGCAAACTGCATCTCTTATTAGCGTATGTAACAGGCGGTAACCCGGACGGGTTCCAAGAATGGAGTGGACTTGCATGTAAAGGCTTCCAGCCTTTGGGACTGGTGTCAACCACACTCCCAAGCCTTTTACTGAGCAGTATTTCTACAGCTCGAGTTTGACCTGTCCGGCAGAGCTCAAACATCAGGGAATCTTCTGCGACGGCGCGGGTCACTGTCAGTTTACAGTTGAACAGCCAGCTTCGGCCAGCAGCGGCCATGATCGCTTCCAATCCGTTGTGGACACCTAACCACTGGATCCAGGTATTGGGGTAGAATATGTAAGACGTGACACATTTTGTCTCTTCGTCCTTATTATGTACATTTCCCGGAAGATGAAGTTTGGTCTTGCGCTTCCATAAACAGCCAAAAGCAGTTCGGAACCCCGTCACATGGTGGCTGACACGATACTGCAAGTTGTCTGAATAGACGAATGTTCGTGCTCGAGAAAATCCGTTGCAGTCTACCGTGTAACCATCCTGAGCGAAGATTTCAAGCGAATTGGATTCGAATTTAGAGATCCCAATCTGCTCAACCGCCTTTAACATCAGCTCCTGCAGCTTCACTATGGTCATGGCCTGTTTCGAGACGTTCTTCTCGAAATCCATGAGCATAGTTTTTGCTGTTTTGATTTCTCCGACTGTGTTCTTGTCCAGAATATTCTGCTCCACATAGATTGGTGGAGGAGGCTGTTCACCTCTGATGGATGCTCTATCGTCTGCGGGTCGCTCCGACAGCAGGTGTACGTTGAGTTCGTCGCGGTCTGGGTGATGCTGAGAGCCAAGGAACATAGTTGTATGTATCGGAACAGTAGTAGCATATGGCTGAGATTGTACCACACTTTTGAGAAGTTAGTACCACTATATGGCACCGCCACAGGAAAGGAATTATGAGCACACCTTTGATGTACAAGCGCAAGAGTCAAAGTCAATTTCGTCTCACTCAGTGAGTCGCGAAACTTTTGAATATGCTTACTATGACTGGCGGCTTTGAAAGCAGCCCATTTCCGTCTCTTGCGCGATGAGGACTGAAACCCTTCATCAAAATCTGCCACAATGGTGTTGAGTTCCTGGATTGTCAGAACGCAGTAAGTTTAGAATTGAAAAGTAACGCACAAGAAGTTTGCCCCAGCAATGCTGTATCCCCTCAGCTACGCATTCCCCGACTGCGCCCTTGGTGGATTGAATCTTTTTGAATACTGAAATGAGATATTGGAGATCCTCATTGATGGCTGCAATGTCTTGTGGTGCGTCTTCAACAGAATTCCAGAATTTGTATAGCTTCATGAATGACTCGGTGAGTTGAATGGCAACCGAGACTACAGCTAGGCCTAAGACTTGTCAATATCTGGCCATAAGGAAAGTAGCCAGTTGTGTTACGACTTACCGTTTGCCGCCACTGAAAGTCCTTCCATGGCTATGGCTGCCTCCAAAGGTGACAGAAGCCTCTGTCACTTGCTTGTCTTATAATGAACAGCATCTTTGGGTGGCTTAGGGGGAAACAGTGCAGCTCGAAGTGTGGGGTCCATAATACGTTGAAACATTTCCCGCGGGAAGCCACATGGCTCTGCCGCAATTGTTGGATACTTTCGACAACAAATGCCTGATAGGGGCTTTGCGCCGAGCGAATTGGACAGAAACAAGCTGTGGCGTCCAGAGGATCATGTGCGCTAAGGAGTGACGCGAATCCGAGGCTGTGATGGCTATGCAAGTGAAATGACGCTAGTAACCGTGTGTAACCCGAGGCAGCCACACGTCTAAGACGTGTGCATGCGAAGTTCAGGAGTATCTGGATGTGTAGTCCTTCGCCGAGGCCATCATCCCGGTCTTGTAAAGTGCTGTGCCGTCTTTGCGCAGCCGTGTTCCTGTGTTAAGTTTAGTTGATTGTCATGCGGGGGTTTGCCTGACGAAGAGGGACTTATACCACTGTCTATGTAGATGTGTCTATATTCAAGCTGATCACAAGTACACGGCCCAAGGGAGTGTGAGTTGAATATTCGCAAAGAATGGATGATGAACGGAGGGTCTGATAGAATATATTGCCTAGACGCGTTGTCGCTTACTCCTTCGCGTAGGGTCCTGCTTCACTTGCACAATTGGGCTCTCGTCTGGTAGTGGCTCCTTCTTGATCCGCTTCCGTTTTGTCACCTCCTTCTTCACTGCAGTTTCTATCACAGTCTCGTCATCCTCCTTTTTGATCACGACCTCTTCTTTCACCTCTACTTTGGCAACCACTCGTTCCGAAAATGCCTTTAGATCCGCCGTAAATAATACAGAATGCGCCCAACCTGCTTCCTTCCCCCATAGTTTGCGGAACAAATTGCCTATAGCAACATATGTTGCTGCTGTCAAGCTGCTGTGTTTGCCTTTGCCGAAGCGATAGTCGCGCTGCGCAATCTGCCAAACATGGGTATCGACCGGCACAGACTCAGACCAGCCGAGACCAAAAAGGCACACACAGTCTGCAACTTTGGGGCCTACACCATGAAGTGCGAGTAGCTCCTCATGTGCTTTTCTGTACCCCTCTCGACCACCTTCAAGCATGTCCCCAGCTGGCTTCTCTTCAACGCCAAACTGAGGATATTCGGGGTTGCTTAGATCTTCGAGCCACTTCAAACCCTTGTCCTCTGATACTATGCGTGCAGTCTTAGCGATGTACTTTGCCCTGTATCCAAAGCCAAGCTTCATGAGATGGGCTTCTACGTCTGGACCAGAGAGAGCGGCGGGTGTGGGAAAATCGTGATAGGGAACCTCGTCGATGTGCCCGATCAGAGGTCCATAGTGCAGGCAGAGGTTGTGTACCATGCCGGATATGCGGCCGATGTTGTTGTTGCTACTGCATATGAAGCCAATAAGTGCTTCCCATGCATCTTGTCGCAGTATGCGTATGCCTGTGAATTTGGGTGCTCGCTTCCTGAAGTTGGCATCTGAGGCTGCCCATTGCTCGTATAGATGGCCAAGGTTTGGCGAGAGGTTGAAGTAGTGGTTGACAAGGGCAAGTGTGTCATCTTCTTCGGGGGCGACGGAAGGCGCATTGGACGGAGGTGGCGTGGGCAGTGCGGTGGTAATGGATGGGTATATGGCTCGGTAGTGTAAATATTGGGGATCCTGGCGGAGAGAGAGGATGCGACCATGGAGGGCTGCTGACCATTCGCCTTCAGCAGACTTGCGCCACCTGAGGGGGCATGTTAGCAGTGTTGGCGATCAAGATGCGACCATGTAGAGCATCGTACCGGAAAGACTGCCCGCAGCGCAAGGTAGTGTCAATGCATAGTTCGGTAAGGCTTGTAGGCAGCTTGTGCCATTCTGCGGCGCGTAACGCCATGGTGGGTCTATGGTGTGGGTGTGATGTAGTTGGGAGAGTGAATGTCCCTCTCTCTGTATACTCCCAGTCGCATGTCCCTTAATTAGTGACGGGGGTCTGGGAGTAGCCCCGGCGACAGGGGCGCGCGGTGCCAAGGGCGCGCTAGGACAGCCCTGACTTTCTCTCTCGCACCTTTTCCGCGACCGCAGACGCAACCACCGCAGAAAGCATCGCGTCCCACAGTCCGGACCATTGCGGGCTTGATCCATCCACCATCGCCTGATCTAGCTCTGCTGATTGCAGCTTCTGCCCCCGTGTCCTTGTGCTCGCCTGCAGAATCTCACGCGGCTGTACGTTACCACCGCGATAGCTCCCATCAACACTACCACCATGAACGGCGATAGTTATTCCCGAGGTAAGCCGGCTAGACCAGTACACGTACTGACTGGTGTGCAGTTCCAAAGATGTAAAATACTAACATAAGCAGACGGCGGTCGATCAGCTGGATCCCGCAACTACGTGAGTTCACATCACCGGCGCGCCACTGGCACACAAATACTAACAGCACAGTCTTCGAGAGATGACCACCGTGATCGCGGTGACCGTGGTGATAGGCGCCGGCGCCGTTCTCGCTCCCCGCGCCATGGCGGAGGCTCCCGCCGCGACTATGAAGTAGACACGTACTCGTCCAGCCGCGACTACCGTGAGCGCGAGCGCGAAGATACATATGCCCGTCGTGAAAGGCGGGATGACCGGGGTGAGCGTGGAGGAGATCGGGGCGGATGGGGAGACTCGTACTCTAGGCGCGACCGACCCCGAGGAGACCGCGGAGGAGACCGCGACCGCGACCGCGACCGTGGAGACGACGACCGTGGACACCGCCGGGACAGAGACCGTAACGAGAGGGGTGGCGACAGGTTTGGTGATGAGCGAAGGGGTGGCCGAGGTGGACGCGACGGAGGCTTTGGTGGTGGGCGTGATAGGGCGCGCCAGCCCAAGGAAGACTCTCCTCCATACACCAAGCCGCGAGAAGCTACTCCGGATCTTGCCAGCTTCACCAACATCCTGCAGCGCCAGCGTCGCATGACACAATGGGACATCAAGCCCACGGGCTACGAGAACATCACGGCTGAGCAGGCCAAGCTGTCGGGCATGTTCCCTCTGCCTGGAGCTCCCCGCGCTGCGCCCATGGACCCGTCCAAGCTGGCGGCCTTCATCTCGCCCTCGACTGGAACTGCCACAGCCGCTGCTCTCGCCACATCGGCCGCCAAGCAGTCGAAGCGTCTCTATGTTCACAACCTGCCTTCAGGATGCACGTCGCAGGAGATTATGGAATTCTTCAACACCCAGCTCAATGGTCTTAACGTTGTCTCTGGACCCGATCCTTGTGTGTCGGCCCACATTGCGACGAGCAAGGAGTACGCTGCGCTAGAGTTCAAGGCACCCGAAGACGCAACCCTCGCTCTGGCTATGAACGGCATTTCTATGCGCGACGACGGTGGCGCTCCCGATCGGGCAGGCCTCTCCATCCGCCGGCCCAAAGATTACATCACCCCTACTGCCGACGAGAACGCATACCCACCCGGCGACGAAGTGTCTTCTGTTGTTAAGGATAGTCCCAACAAGCTCAGCATTGTCAACATCCCTACATATATTGAGGAGGAGCAAATTCGTGAGCTTGTCGAGACTATGGGCAAACTCAAGGCTTTCATCCTGGTCAAGGATACAAGCACCGACCAACACCGCGTAAGTTATATATTTAAACCGATCTTTTCGGTTTGCTAACAATGCTACAGGGTATCGCTTTCTGCGAGTATGCTGACAACGAAATCATCGACGCCGTCATTGAAGGTCTGAACGATATTCCACTCGGCGATGGTAATCTCAAGGTGTCACGTGCGACTGTCGGTCTTCAGCAGACTACTGGTCTGGATGGTGGAGTTGGTGCCATCTCTATGTTGGCGGGAGCAAGCGCCGCAGAGAACCGTGAACACAGCCGCGTTGTTTGCCTCATGAACATGGTGACTTCGGATGAGCTACTTAACGATGAGGAATACGAAGGTGAGCACAGGCAGATACTCACGGATTTGACATGACACTAACATCAGTTCAGAAATCAAGGAAGACATCGAAGAGGAGTGCGGCAAGTATGGAACGATCCTCGAGACCAAGATTCCTCGTCCTGCCGGAGCTCGCGTCAATCTCGGTGTTGGCAAGATCTACATCAAGTACCAGGACACAGAGTCAGCGCAAAAGGCCATCAAGGCGCTCGCTGGTCGTCAATTCTCCCGAAGAACAGTCGTGGCAACCGAGTTCTCGGAAGAGGGCTTTGACGTGGATGCCTGGTAGACTGTTTCTATCGCTTTATGTTCTGTGTTCGGTGGGTTTTGTCCATATGGCATGCTATTTTTGCTGGGTCGGGGTGTACCAAAAATGAAGAGCAGGATCAGCATTTGTATACTAATTTGATTGTAGGGGAAGCCAGTATGCATGGGAGCGTTGCAGTACTGGCAATTTGCTTGTGTTTTGATTATGTCGCCTACGTAGGCGGATCGCACTTTCCATGGTCTGCCTGAAATATGATATGGCATTTGTTCTCTGTTTGATTGAAGTATGGATACGATAAGGTTGTGACGCGCTTAGATTTGACGTTCATCATGGCGCGTACGTAGGTTGACGTCGAAATTAGAGTGCTGATGCGTCAGCAATCTCATCACAACATGTAAATTCACCAACTCCCTTGCGACTTCGTCTGTATGCTTCCGAGTACGAACGGTCCAGCCTATGGCGTAGAAATCGTCCGTAACATTTCAGGTATACGTGCATGTGAAGCATATCGGCGCAATATCAACGGAGGTAACCCGAGTTAACTCCGTCTATGACACCTTCAAGTCGATATTAGGAACGTCTCCACCACCAAGCAGTTGGACAAAGCAAAGTTCGTCCGCCGCTACTTCTCAACTCGGACTAAGGGCTTCAATGAAGTGTAGGCATCCTCAATTGACGTCGGCGACATGACGCTTTGACAGGCCATTCGCGTCTTGCCTTAAAACCGCGCGATACAAACAGTCCTTAAACCCGGCTGCCCGAGGAGACCCCGTGCTTAGCCCACACAGGTGTTAACGGTGATACCAATGCGGAAAAATGTATCAAAAAGACATCTAAAACCCCAATTCCTGCACCAATTCCAGTCTCAACCTACTAAATTACGATTCACCAACTGAACCTCCCCAACATCACCCACAATGGCAAGCTTTGCCCGCTTCTTCTACTCCCAACTCTTCGTCACACCTCCACCCCCCACGGCTGACCTAACCGGTAAAACCGTCCTCGTAACTGGCTCCAACACCGGCCTGGGCAAAGAAGCATCCCGTCACTATGTCTCCCTCAACGCCTCAACCGTCATCCTCGCCGTGCGCTCCATCGAAAAAGGCGAAGCAGCCGCCAAAGACATCGAGACCACCACCGGCCGCCAAAATGTAATAAAAGTAATGCACCTCGACATGTCTTCCTACCAATCCGTACTCGATTTCGCTTCTACAGTAAGCAAAGAGGTCCCCCGCCTCGACATCGCCATTCTCAACGCCGGCGTAAACCGCGGCGTGTGGGAAATCTTCGAACAAGACGAATCCACCATTACCGTCAATGTCGTTTCCACTTTCTTTCTCTTCTTCTCTCTTCTCCCCAAACTCAGGGATACGGCAAGCAAATTCAATGTGCGACCGACACTCACGGTTGTGAGTTCGGAAGTGCATCAGTGGACGGGGTTTGCGGAGAGGAAAGCACTCGAGGGGAAATTGTTTGAGCGGTTGAGGGAGGAGGTTGTAGCGGGAAAGAAGGTGGATTTGAATGAGAGGTATTGTGTTAGTAAGTTGATGGAGGTGCTCACTGTGAGGGAGTTTTGTGCGAGGAATAAGGGTGGGGAGTGTCCGGTCACGGTGAATACTGTTAATCCGGGGTTGTGCCATTCGTGAGTCCTATTTTCCCTTTTGAATTTTCATTGTCTTTGAGGATGGCGGTGTCTAATTGTGAATCACAGAGAGTTCGGTCGCGAAGCCCCCTTTGTCGCGGCTATATTGCGTTTCTTCCTTGCTCGCACTACGGAAGTTGGGTCGAGGACGCTGGTGCATGCGGGGTTGCGGGGTGAAGAGACGCATGGAAAGTATTTGAGTGATTGCGAGATTACGGAGCCGAGTACGTATGTTAGGAGTGAGGAGGGAAAGAAAGATCAGGAGAGGGTGTGGAGGGAGTTGATGGTGAAGTTGGAGGGGATCAAGGCGGGGGTCACGCAGGGGTATTAGGGCTCGGATGAACGTTGGAGAGGTATGATATTGTAAGATATATGGTGCTCTATCTGAGCTTTTTCATGACTACACAAAACGATATGGCGTTGAGCAATACGAGTGTCTTTCCAATCTTCCAAATTGAATTAATATCTGTCTTTCTACATGATCAGAAGTCTTCAAATATTACAGCGAACAAGAACAGTGAGATTTTTGAGCAGGTACATCACTCTGCTGTCACTATTATCTATAAAACAATGCCATATTCACAAAGCTACCTTTGTGTAATGACTGCCATGTATTCGGTGTCGCTCCACGCAGTACCAGGCTAGAACCACACTGATACGCTACCGTGTAGACGAACGCAAGTATCCTGCTGACACCCAAGCACCTCATCAGGTTAGTAGATACATACCCCACACCCAGAGGTATGGTAAGAGTGGGGTAGGGGTAGTGTCGCATAGACCAAGGATCCAAGTACGCTTATGTTGGACATCACCTCTACCAGACAATCACTTATTTACCGTCCTAAAGAAATATTAGCGAGGCCTGTTTGGTCTACAACGCACTTAATACACAGCTGCTACGCCTCTGTAGTATCTACAAGATCGATTTTTTATAACGAGCAACAATATGGGTCGTCCTTGGTACCGAGCCCTGATACGTTCGGAACGCCCGGGACAGCCCAGGTACCTACGTATCTTGGCAGTTGTAAAGCCTAGCATCAGAAGACTAGTATTCCGGACATCACATAGGTATTCTGTATGTAGAAAATAATTGATTGAGGTACTAGCCGTCGGCAGCGCTTGCATGCCGAAGAGTATCGCAAGTAGGATTAGGCGAATGTTTGATATATGCTCATTCAGCTTGTTAGGCACAAATTTTCTGGTTTTGTAGAGCATATTTGAGATGGAAGAGCCCTTGATGTTAGAGGGAGGTCTTGTTCATCTTGTTGTATTGGTTGAGGGCTGAGTTTTTATCTTATTGATTATCAAGATCAGTACATGGAGTAGGTCTGCCGTGGCCAAGTCGGTATTAGATGATGATCCTGTGACTGTGACAATTTGTCTTGATTTTCTAGTTTTGTTAGTCAGATAAGAGCCTTAGTGGGTTTAAGAATAGGTTGGAATAGAGACGTTAGAGCCAGACTCTTTTAAAACATCGTTCGAATCCACTATCACAATCAAAACGAAGTGTCAATTCTCAAACTTGATTAGCACAATACACCCTTGATTTCTCCCCAATTCTCTTTGTCAGGAAGAGCAGCAGCTTCCTTCGCTAGCTGATCTGCTACTGTGTTTAGCCTTCTTGGAATAAGCCAGAACTGTACTTCTAGCCCTGCTTTGCTCCATCTCTCGCGTTCTTTACTGAGCTCCTTCCAGAGATCCTGGTTCTTCACTGGCTTGTGCGTTGATGTTTGCCACCCATTTTGCATCCATTTGTAGATCCATTGTGTAGACCCGTCAACTACGTAAGACGAGTCTGTTGCGATCACAAGGCGTCGGCATCCCTCGTTGTTCCACAGCCGAAACTCGAGCGCAGCGATAACGGCACGGAGTTCGGCTCTGTTACTGGTCTGAGGTACTACTTCTCCCGTCGGGCCGCGGGACTCAAGTCGAAATTCAGAAGCGCCAATTGTATGAAGGTTCATGGAGCGGGTAGAATGCCCAGTAGAAGTTCTTGACGGAATAATCGAGGGAGATGTTTCGGGACGATAGACAAAGGCACAACCTCCTCTAGCATCTTTCCCTCCATTCTCACTACATGCCCCATCCGTGTAGATGAGAAACTCGGATCGATTGGACTGACGAGTGAAGCGTGGGGGTTGGATCGTTGCGCTTGACAGACCAGGTACAAATAGATCTTATGGAGTATCGGTTGCATTTGGAGGAAGGAATCGTGTGAAATTTGATGCCGGATCAAGAGATGGAAGAACGATTTGATCGTCTTGGCCACCAAGAACAACGTCAGTACCCTCCGGAACTAAACCTTCAGGAACGACGTAGAACTTTCGCTCCAGAGTATTCATAATTTAAGAACAGCGTGATGAAGTGTTGTTGTGTTCACAGTCCATGTCATCGTAAGTAGAGTTGGTCCTACTACCCCACAAATTCACATGATACTACAGTCATGTTTCATATATCTGGCCTCGCCAAGCTCCACCACCCCACAAACACCAACCCCACCCACTTTTTACAATGCCTACCACTAACGCTATACTACGCTATTATTAAAACGATATCTATAGAGCGTAATTTTATGATTTAGATATTACGTAGTAGTATAAGCTTTAAAGAAGTAAGTTGTTAAGGGGCGAAGAGGCCTTCGAACGAGTTTGTATTAACCTATACTATAGAAGAAGAAAGATAAGAAGAGTAAAGTTATCGTATAGTAACTTCTACTTTATATCCTTTCGTTAGTTCTTTCTTACGAAGAACTTCTAATAACTAAGCGTCTCTATAGTAAGCACGTGGTATTATCACGTGCTTCATTCATGGCGTAGCCTCTTACAGTAGTAGTAGTATAGGCGTCAACTTTTAATAATGGTGGGGTTTCGGCTAGCAAGGCCAGACTTATGAACTAGTACTGTATGATCGCAATCGTTCAACTACTTAATGACAAAAGGGTCACGATACTCTGAACTGGAGGCCCAGGAAGGTCAGCCCTCGATTCAATAAAGCCACAGTCACGTGCATAGGGTATATAGTCCCATCCGATCCTTAAGCAACTCGACGTCATGCTATACAACACCGAATGCTAGCGTGGAATGCACGGTGCTAAACTAACAGGTTAGCCATATCTACATAGGTTTGTTTTAATAAGCTCCATTACTCTCCCTTCTTACTCACCATGAGGCATGTGGCGGCTAAAGCGTTTACCATTTGCTGCATCTTCTTTCTGTCTTCTTGGCTAGCTTATCTTCTGGTACGATCTCCGGCCCTGAAGTAGCCTGTAGTCTCCTTAGCGCAACTAATCAGACACCATCGCTACGCTCTTTTGCGTAGCTTTCAATCCCCCGAATCTAGAACCAATACTGTTTCAAGATACTTCCACGGATATGATTTCTTTAATGATCCACGCTTGCTTTACCCTTGAGAAATTTAATCTGATATTTCATCGATGCACAAGCCGTTTGCCTGGAGAGCGGGAGCAGATGAAGAAGCCAAGTTACCAACATGCGAGACACATGGATTGCTTATCTAACTGTGCGGTACCGACTCCACAGTGACTTTCTTCTATTCCACAATGAGATGCCAAGAAAGCTCAGTAACCCGTGACATGTTTCCATCGACCTACTAGAAAGGCTGTCTAAACTAGCGTTATCTCGCTTTCTTCAGAACAACGCAAGTCCCTGTAGTGTACGCTAAGATAGTACATCTCGGCATCAAGTGAACAACTCACAACCCGCTTTTCCTTGTGATGAATACAATTCCCTCAAAGATATTCACCACTCCATCTATTGCATTCCTATAAAATACAACATAAAAGAAAGAGGAAAAGTGAGGGGGGGGGGGGGAGAGTTACCATAAAAGGTCCCATGTGTTACCACGCAGCCCAACACCCGAAGTACCCCTCTATCCCCAACCCACAAAGTATCCACACTAGCCAACCGCCCTACCCCATTCACCGCCCCATCTCCACCCCAAACCCACATCTTCCCTTCTACACCTAGTCTACACGCGCCCTCAACCCAGTGCCAAACCCCACCCTCACTATCTCCCCTCACCGGGCATCCCACATTCCGAATCCCGAATCCCACCAAAGATAACCAAACAAGCACCTGCATCGCATCGCATGCTCCGTCGCCTCCCTCTCAGCCTCATCACCCCTCCCCCTAACCCATCTTTACCCATCTCCCTTCGTCTATCCCCTTTCCCAATCTCTGCCCCTTCTCTCAAACGCCCCCCCGCCCTACGCCACCAAAAGCGCCGCGCACCGTACACACGCTAACTAAATTGCGGGGATCACAAAACAAACTAAACCTAACCCCGTATGTATGTGTGCGAAGCTAGAAAGCTAGTGTAGTTTACGTTACAATCTAAAAGTTGGTTGCCCCGTGTCTCCGTCTTTTTAGGGGAGGGAGGGGCGGAAGGAAAGGAGACTAGGCCGGGAAGAGATGGGGGGACGCGTGCAGCAGCCTGAGGCGGGTGAGGCATTTAACATGGGGTGGAGGGGCTGCGGTATAGGTTGAGTTGCACATGGGTGGCCGTATTGCGTATGCGGATGTTTGTGTTGGGGGGGGACAAGGGTGTGTGGTGGTATTTTTTGTGGGGATGGGGGGATGGGAGTGGCAAAGAAAACAGGTGTGGGTGAGGTGGAATTGGGGAGGGAAAGGGGAAAGTAGGGCGAGATGGGGATTAGCACGGTGAAATAAAGGCTGGGGGGGGGAGGGAATAGATGGTGAGAGATTTTTCACAGCAAAGACAAGAGTTTTGGATGTTTGGGTATAAGTGAATTAATTCATTAAAACTTCATAACTCGTGATGATGGAGGTATATATGTAGATGAAAACGGGAAAAAAACAAAAAACGATGCAACTATATGTTGCCCATTTGGCTCCCATAAGACATGGTATGCGTATGTACAAGCCTTCGTGTGAAATGATCAAAAAACATCTAAATGTCTATTCCCAATCCACATCTGCATGTCTGCAGATTTGAATGCTTTAAACGACAGTCTTCTCGGGGTACTCGGCGTGAGTAGCGCTCCTCTTGCGAGAAGCATCAGCCTCAATGTCAGTAAGGCTGGCGCGGCGGTTGTCGGCCTGCATGTCCTGAACATCCTGGAAGGAGACGGTGGGGACGAAGCCAGGGGACTTCCAGGCCTTGGAGCACTTGCCATAGAGCTCGTCGACTTGCTCGAGGGAGAGACCCTTGGTCTCGTAGATCATGCCCCAGACGAAGAAGATGCAGATGAAGCAGCATCCGCCCCAGACGAAGAAGACCTTTGCGCCCATGTTGGCGTTGCCAGGGCCGTCGTTGACCATGTAAGGGGTGGCGTATCCAATGGCGAAGTTGAGGAGCCAGTTGCTGGCGGTGGTCATGGAGAGCGACTTGGCACGGACCTTGAGAGGGAAGATCTCACCAGTAACGACCCAGGCAACTGGACCCCAAGAGCAGGCGAAGAAGAAGATGTAGATGCAGACGAATGCGATCAAAGCCTTCTGGGCAGCCAGGTTCTCAACACCAGCGACAGTACCGGTAATAGCGACGATGAACTGGCAGACAGCCATACCGACGGCACCGAAAAGGAGGAGGTTGCGGCGACCCCACTTCTCGACGAGGTAGAGACCTGGAAGGGTGGAGGCGACGTTGACGCAAGAGGTAATCATAGTGACAACAAAGGGGTTCTTGATACCAGAGTTCTGGAAGAAGGAAGTACCATAGTAGAAGATGAAGTTGACACCAGTGAGTTGTTGAAGAGACTGGAGCGCACAACCAGTTGCAAGACGCTTTCCAAGGTTACCACGGAAGCAGTCGGCGTAGGTGGCCTTGCCGAGAGACAGCTCGTACTCGTGGTTGGCAGTGATCTCAGCCAACTCCTCAACGAGGGCAGGGTCGTCAACGTTGAGGCGGCGAAGGGTAGAGAGAGACTTGGCAGCCCTTTCTGGGCGACCCTTCTTGATGAACCAACGAGGAGTCTCGGGAAGCCAGATGCAACCAGTGAAGAGGACAATGGCCCAGGCGAACTGGACAGCAATGGGAATGCGGTAAGAGCCAGTGTCGTCCCTGTCCTTGGTGGCATTGTCGACGATGGCAGCAAGCAAAAGACCAATGGTGATGGCAAGCTGGTAGCAACCGACAATGGTACCACGGATCCACTTGGGGGCAGTCTCGGATTGGTAGAGAGGAATGGTGGCAGAGATCATACCGACCCCGTAACCAGCGAAGAAACGACCAGCAACAAACAGGGGGATATCAGTAGCAATGGTCTGGAGAATAACACCAAGACAGAAGACAATGTTGCTGGCAACGAGACCAAGGCGACGACCGAGGAAATCGGCAGTAGGGGCGGCAGTCAGGGCACCGAAAAAGGTACCAGCAGAGAGGATAGAGACAATGAGCGAGGTCTGGTCGGCGGTGACATCAGGAAGGTTGTCCTTGGGGTTGACGTATCCAGTGCTGAAGACCTCACGCCAGTGCTTCATTCCCAGGATACCACCAATGGTACCAGTATCATATCTGTAAAACGCTGTTAGTGACTGATATTGCTTAATAGAGAAGTTGAGACTGCATACCCGAAGAGGATACCACCAAAAGCAACAAACAAGCCGACAATGATGGCGGGCGCAGTGGAACCGGCCACGCCCTCGGGCTTCTTCAAAGTCAGACCCATGACTGGAGGTTGAATGTGAGAAAGGGCAGAGTGGTGTTGAGAAAAGACTCGAGCCCAGAGTAAAAAGGTGTGTACTCGGATGAGATGATGTTTGCTTGGGGGGCGGATCAACCCAGCTTAAGTACAGATGGAGAACTCATTCCCATGGGCATGGGATCTCCATGGGCAGCTCTCCAGTCCCGGAGACTAGAAGCATGGGGACAATGCGCTAGACATTTGAGGGGCTAGCATGCTATTGGGAATAGGTCCGATGAAGCTGGGGACTGCTAGCGTATTGCTTAGTTTATGAGCTAGACCAGACCAGACGAATCCCGCTCGTACGTTGCGGGCCTGCGATTGAGGTCGCCTCTGGGTGGTGGTGGAACTAGAATTGCCTCGGCGTGGCAGTAGAAAAGTCGAGGTCGTGCTAGGCGCATCTATGTTTAGCGGTCTCCACGCTGGCGAGTTTGCTGGGACACGGTAAGCATGCGCGGTGTGGCAGTAGTAGGCCGAGCACCACGGTACAAAGAATTACAGACGTACGTAACGTGACAGACGCGGGCTGGCTGTTGACGCGGGCAATGTCAGTGGCATGGCAGTTGGGAGTTAAGCGAAAAGGTGGCGCCGAGAATGGGCAAATGGTAGGGCAGCACAGCAGTAGCGCAGAACCTTAGGTAGATGTGTATGATCCGACAGGTTGTGCGCATAGATGGCCTTAGCCGTTGACCTCATTCACACGCAGGCATGCATACGAGCACGCAGCGCGTACGTTTGTGTTTGATCAATCGTGTTGCTGGTGGTAGCGAAGGAGGTGCCGCAAGCAGCCATGATGTGCATTACTCGCCAATCACGGGCAGGTGTGTCATGGAACTATACACGTAGGGATAATAATCGCCCAATTCCTGACCCAGCTAGGCAATGATGCCGTGGAATGGCTGGCGCGTTCGGGGTCGGGGTCAAGATGCATGCATGGAACCTTGTGGCAAGAGTCTTCTGGAATGCGGCTGGGGTTTGGTAACTGGTAAGTTTTGAGGGGAGCGCAGTTGCCAGGTGGGAGTCTGTGGCATGACGAAGCGGGTGGTGGTGGAGGAGGGAGGGGCGGGGAGAGAGAGGGCGTGACAATTTTTTGCTTCTGGCCATCCCAAGGGCGCGTGAGAACGACGGGGCAGGTGGGGTACATTAGTTCTCTCCAGACCCCGTGAGGCTCAACAAGCTCTGCATGGCGCGCTTGGGGCTGCGAGAGCCAAGTGTCAGCCAACCACGATGGTCGGCGGCCGTGGCGTGCGACCGGACATGTAGCGCTTGGCCAAACTATCGGGAAGATTTTGTCACACTAACAGGTCTCGAGGCAAAATTTTCTATCCTTTCATGGACCGGCCACGCCGCTGCGGCTCAAATGCAGTATCCACTCGACACCGTGCGCCTGGAACAGCAGACGCAGACGGCTGGTCAGGTGCGGCTTGGAGGCCTGATGCCTGTCTGACTGGAAACTAATCTCCGTCTGGAGAAGACGAAAGCGACCGTAGTGCGACGTGGAGAGTGCGGCACCCGAGTGCGGAGGGCGACAGGCATCGAGTGACAGGTTTCGCGGGGATCGTGAGATTGGCCGCTGGAGGAGCAAACGTGTTTGTGATCAGAGGGAACATGTCGTAAGCAGCATGCGAACGTCCATCTCATGCGTCGTAGTGAGTATGTGGAACTTGGCTGTTTTTCAAGCCTGACGACTAAGCTTATTACCCGTGGCTTGGCCTCATCTCGTCGGAGTCGGCTTTTGCTGTCCTCAAGGCCAGGACCGGAGCTGGAGCTGCTGCTGACTCGCTCCGTCTCTCCATCTGTCTTGTTGTTCCCCATCACGGCATGTCTCCCGGCACCCAACTGCCGGTACCTGAGGCAGCTGTCGCTGTCCGTGTCTTCACCCTCTCGAGCAGCCTCAAAACATGCTGGTGACTGCCCAGAATCGGATGCCGGAAAGCGGTTCAGACGGAACCTAATCTGATCGACACACGCCACGATCCTTGGAGGCCTTGTGCGGCTCTTTGATCATGCCAGAGTCACATGTCATTGTGGTGGCAATGGTCACGCGCAGCATGGGAAACCCAAGGTACCAAAGTATCCCTTGAACGCGTGACTGCTGATGCGATGCTGATGCTGTGAGTATTTAGCACTCCTTGCTACTGCAGTCCCCACATGAAGCTGAAACGCAAGCCGAGGTACCAATGCCACTCGCAGTAGGATCGGCATCCCAGCGCTGGGACACGGAGCACGCTATCGACTGGCGTTCCGAGGGGCCAACAGAACCGTTTGAAAGCAACGGCACGGCCACTAAACAACGCTGCAACCTGCTTGCTCGGCCTCTCTCCCCGTCGGACGCACCGAACCAGGTATACGTCATCGCAATTTGAAGTCGTCAAATTATTTTGATGCGGCAAGAAACAACGAGAAAAGAGACAATTGCACAATGGGTGAAGATGCGGCAGAAGATGGTGGTGGATGAACAGGACGACAACAGACGGTGACGCGCCACGTCTGTCCCCCGAACCCCACCAAAAAAACGCGTCCAAGCCAACCCCCCTTCTCACCGCCCCTCCAAACAACAACAACAACAACATCAACACCAACGAAGCAACAACACGACAACAACACTCAATACCACCTCAATGTCCGACACCCCCTTACCTCCCCACTCTCCCCCCAGCCTCCCCTCCTCTCCCCTCCCCAAACGAACAAAAGTAATCTCCCCCTCGCCCCTAACCCAACCCTCTACCCTACCCCGCGGCACAGACTCCGGCCTCGCAACCCCAACACCCCTCGCAAACATGTCGTCAGTCCTGCAACCCCCCGCTCCCATTGCGCCCTCAATCGCCGCCGGCGCTGCCGCAGAACAGCAATTGCAAGTGCAATTGCTGAGCCCCAATGCCAAAGCCCCGACAAAGGGTAGTGCCTTTGCCGCCGGCCACGATCTTTATAGTGCGGTGGATGTGGTGATTCCCGCGAGGGGGCGCAAGTTGGTTGGGACGGATATTAAGATCTCGGTGCCTGTGGGGACGTGTATGTTTTTTTTTCTATTTTCTCGCCTCTTCTTTCTTATGATCTGATGGTGATGGTGATGATGATGGCGGCGTGAGGGTGCTTTTGCTGATAGTTACGATGAACAGATGGCAGAGTGGCACCGCGCTCGGGACTCGCATATAAACACGGCATTGATACCATGGCGGGCGTCATCGATGCGGATTATCGGGGCCCCGTGGGTGTGATACTGGCTAATCTTTCGGATGAGGATTTCGAGATTAAAATTGGGGACCGCATTGCGCAGCTTGTGGTTGAGAAGATTGCCATGCCCAATGTGGTTGTTGTCGAGGAGTTGGAACAGAGTGTTAGGGGCGCTGGTGGATTTGGAAGTACCGGCGGGTTTGGTGCTACTCCTGCTGCTGCTGAGCCAGCGGCGGCGGCGGAGACTGAAGAGAAGAAGGAGTAAAGAATGATTTGCTGGTCAATTCCAAACAGCAAGGAAGAGGATTGGTATAAGAGACATGGCCATAATATGCTCAATTGAAGAGTACAATTGCACGAGCAAAAGAGTACTGGATACATTACTCATGTCAATTGACAAAGACCAAAGTGTCAAAAGCATTCTAAGCACTCCCACGTAGAAGAGAGAAACAACAACAAGTGTTCTCAACAAAGACAAAGAATCAGAATCAAAACGATTTGCCTCCAATCATATGTACACGCATCATGAAATTAAAAAAAAAGAGTCCCTTATGCTTAACCCTCCATATCCTCATGACTGTATATGACTTTCTTTCTTTCTTCTCTGTTTGCTACATAGCGTATCCAATCAATCATCCCAGAAAAGAAAGGAAGTCCACATCCCCCCCCCCCACCACTTTACATCACTGAATATCCAAGTTTAATTCTTGCGCAACTTTCTTAATTTCCCCCCCCC